TTCTTCATCCACTTGTCTGATAATAACGGCTGACTCTGGCGTGAGCTAAGATATTTATGGAGGTGGACTTTTTATAGACAATTCAGTGAGTAGTGTAGTGTGACTGATGTGATGTTTTTGATGACACTGTCCACTGGGAGTATGTGTTTACAGGTAAAATGACATCATAATTGTAATTGTATATGGTGCTGATAAATGTAATGATCGAAAAGTGTTGATAATAAAGATCCTGAAGGTCAAATAATAAAGATACGACACATATTAAGCAATATCTGATTAATTTACAATATGATACGCAATTTGACTAATATAAAGTCAAGATCATGAAGGTGTAATGGGAATCGAACCCGGTACCTCTGTATTGTGAGGTTGACGCGCTAACCACTCAACCAACAGGCCGCCCTCTCTTGAATAATACATTAAATACAAAAGAGACCATCCATCGATTTTCTATCCCACTTGTCCTCATTTGGTTGTCGGGATACACCCTGGAGTGGTTGTCAGCCAATCGCAGGGAAAATAAAGACATACAACAATTCTAAGTCACATTCACGTAGACAATTTAGAACCTTGATTGAACCTAATGTGCATTTTTTTCGGGATGTGGGAGGAAAAAAATTCCATGAAGAATGGGGAGATCATGCAAACTCCATGACATTCAAACCCCAAACTGTGGCGCAGACATGCGAACCACTTTGACAATGTATCCTTCCGGTTTCCTAGGCCAATTCATGTAGGTGGCCTTTGGAATATTTGTCATCTCACCAGGTAGTGAATGTACATCCTCCAAAGTAAGGGACAGTGGACGCCCATCTCGGATCCGACGGCGCTTTCGAACAGTCCACGGATACGGTTGCTGAGACCGTTCTCTGGCAGGACACTCAAGGCCGCGCTTTTGTCGCAGGATCTACGGTTGCCATAAATATTTGACACACAATGGGCAAAGAATGCATTGTTTCAAAAATTGTCATCATCAGCTGAGGAAAATTCAGCCCTTTTCCAGAATACGTTGGAAAGTGAAAGTAACACCGTGCGTGCTTCCGTTGATTTTTTTCCCCACTCCTACCTCTGTGCTGCGTCCACCAGTTGCTTCCTTTGTTGTTCAGCAACAATAGCAAAGAGCCGTGGCACAACACTATCGTTGTCCCTTGTTACGGAGTGAAAAAAGCAACGTGCTCGGCCAGCACTATGGTAACGGTTCTCCACCTGAAACAGGTCCCATGTGAAAGGAGAAAAAGCATGTGGGTGGAGCAATGTTTAGAATTTACCAAGTGAAATTAGCACAGTCTTACCTGTACATAGATGCTCCAGAGGGGGCCACTGCTTGGCCATCTCGAAATGGCAGAGGTGAGTGTGTCTCTCAGTGTCGCCAGTGGAAATGCACTGACGCTCATGTGGTACTTGAGCAATGACGCCTGCTGCACCGCCACCGTCTCACACTCGTAAGCGAACCTGCTAACTAACAGGTTGCTGCCAGAGTGGTCGGCATCAGCGCGAGAGTTCTGGTCAGACGTTATTGTGCGGTGGAGTTCGTCCATCCGCTCTCTGGCCTGGCTGTAGACTGCGCTTGCCGCCTTGATCCCCATGGTGAGGTACTGGAACAGAGCGTAGCAGCCTAGCAGCCCTTTCAATCCCAGCTTCTCTTCTCGGACATCCACGCGACCTTGGCGTGGAATAATGACATGACATCACTTATACAAAGTTAAACAATGCACTTTCTTCATACCGTCGATAATTTGACTGGTATTTCAGATTACAACTACAGTACCTACACCATTTATAGCTGACACAAAGAGACTTATTAATAATAATACATTTTATTGTTGTCCGCATGTTCTCCCCGCGCGTGCGTGGCCCTCCTCCCACATTCCAAAAACATGCATGTTAGGGGAGTTGAAAACGTTACATTATCTTTCGGTGTGAGTGTTTCTTTCTCTAATGTTCTCTGTGACTTAGTACTTGTTACCTCGGGACCTAACTATATATTCACCCTGAGTGAGCAGAGAAAGGTCCTCCAAGAGCAGGCCAGGATGACACAAGCCAGCAGATAGCACAGTGTCCACTGGAAGCCCGAGAAATGACAGGAAATGGAGGAGGAAGCGGAGCTGAAGCTCTGGCGAGGACAGGCAAATGAGAGAAGGGCCGATGTCATCGAACAGCACCTTCAGATTGAGAGACAGACCAGGAGTTAAAGATTGTCACGGTTGTAATTTCAGTGGTGCATATGATATGTTAGCGACAGACCTGGAATATTTGTCATCTCACCAGGTAGTGAATGTACATCCTCCAAAGTAAGGGACAGTGGACGCCCATCTCGGATCCGACGGCGCTTTCGAACAGTCCACGGATACGGTTGCTGAGACCGTTCTCTGGCAGGACACTCAAGGCCGCGCTTTTGTCGCAGGATCTACGGTTGCCATAAATATTTGACACACAATGGGCAAAGAATGCATTGTTTCAAAAATTGTCATCATCAGCTGAGGAAAATTCAGCCCTTTTCCAGAATACGTTGGAAAGTGAAAGTAACACCGTGCGTGCTTCCGTTGATTTTTTTCCCCACTCCTACCTCTGTGCTGCGTCCACCAGTTGCTTCCTTTGTTGTTCAGCAACAATAGCAAAGAGCCGTGGCACAACACTATCGTTGTCCCTTGTTACGGAGTGAAAAAAGCAACGTGCTCGGCCAGCACTATGGTAACGGTTCTCCACCTGAAACAGGTCCCATGTGAAAGGAGAAAAAGCATGTGGGTGGAGCAATGTTTAGAATTTACCAAGTGAAATTAGCACAGTCTTACCTGTACATAGATGCTCCAGAGGGGGCCACTGCTTGGCCATCTCGAAATGGCAGAGGTGAGTGTGTCTCTCAGTGTCGCCAGTGGAAATGCACTGACGCTCATGTGGTACTTGAGCAACGACGCCTGCTGCACCGCCACCGTCTCACACTCGTAAGCGAACCTGCTAACTAACAGGTTGCTGCCAGAGTGGTCGGCATCAGCGCGAGAGTTCTGGTCAGACGTTATTGTGCGGTGGAGTTCGTCCATCCGCTCTCTGGCCTGGCTGTAGACTGCGCTTGCCGCCTTGATCCCCATGGTGAGGTACTGGAACAAAGCGTAGCAGCCTAGCAGCCCTTTCAATCTCAGCTTCTCTTCTCGGACATCCACGTGACCTTGGCGTGGAATAATGACATGACATCACTTACACAAAGTTAAACAATGCACTTTCTTCATACCGTCGATAATTTGACTGGTATTTCAGATTACTACAACAGTACCTACACCATTTATAGCTGACACAAGGAGCTTTATTAATAATAATAATACTAATAATAATAATACATTTTGTTGTCGTCCGCATGTTCTCCCCGCGCTTGCGTGGCCTTCCTCCCACATTCCAAAAGCATGCATTTTAGGGGAGTTGAAAACGTTACATTATCTTTCGGTGTGAATGTTTCTTTCTCTAATGTTCTCTGTGACTGACCGAGTGTAGAATGTCCCCCACCTCTTGCCCAACGTCAGCTGGGATAGGCTCCAGCTCACCTGCAAGTCTCCAAGCCAGATGATATTGTAGGAAATGGTAAAATAGAATTACCTGTACTGGCATTGAAGACAAATAAAAGGTTAAATATAAGCGCCCTTTTTGGCAAGCAGGACATTGCTTCTCTTCTTATCTAGTGACTAGTTCATGACAAAGTGTTTCAAAAAAAAAACAAAAAAACAAGTGTAGACACAATTCATTGTGCTAGGTGTGGAAAAGTCATCATTTTTTGAGAAAGGATTGTATTTGGATTGAGTTTTACGTGTTACATACAGTCCAATCCAAAAGTATTGGAACGGACTTTAGTTGTTGGGATTTAAGCATCGGCTACTCTTGGCAGTAGCCAATTACAGAGTAGAGCAGCAACCAGCCTACACACGGAGGAAGTCTTCTCTCAGAAGCATGACATCTGCTCTCCCAACTGCTCTCGCGATCCTCCCTCCCATCCCGTGAGTTGCAGAATGCACAACACACATATCCTAAACTTTTCACACCCAAACACTCATTTTCACCACTTGCACATTTAGTAAACTAAAACACTGCAACTAAAAAAATTCTTGTCAGTTCTTGTCTTGGGGCAGACTCGGTGCCAAAACAACCACTGCTCCCAAACTCCGGTGGCTCAAAGAAAGTGGGTTTGTGTTTACTCTGTAGGGGTGGTTTGGGGTGGCTCCTCACTTTGTGATGTAGAAAAGTGAGGACCCAGTCCTGCTTGCCAAATAGGAAGCATATACTTGGGGTTTTGTTCATCTTCTATGGTAGGAATTGTATCCGACCATTTTCTTTAGCTTCATTGGGGTAGCGGAGTTGCGGGTGAGCTGTAGCCTTTTGCAACTGACTTTGGGCAAGAGGCAGGATACATACTGGACTGGTCAGTCACAGCCAGAATATATAGACAGACCAACATTCACGTCTGTTCCAATGCTTTTGCTCACAAATGTGCTCTGCCCTGAGTTGTTTAAAACGTCTAGATCAGAGGTTCTTAACCTTTTTAGAGGTACTGAACTCAACCAGTTCATAAGCACATTCACTGAACCCTTCATTAGTGAAAAATAAATATATTTTTTTACAAATTCAAGATACAAAAAAACCCCGCATTTATTAAAAACAGAAAAAAAGTAAATAACATTTCAAGAGATAAGTATACTTTTTTTTTTTTAAATTGCATAACAGTCACACGTTGACTATGAAGTGAACTAAATTTCCCACAGCACTGATTGGACAAGCAATGTAATGTGATCAGGACACGTTGACTATGAAGTGAACTAAATTTCCCACAGAACTGACTGGACAAGCAATGTAATGTGATCATCTAGAGCCAGTAATGGCCAAGTGGGTGTGTCATCACTAATTGACATGTTGAGTCGCGTGTGTCTTACCCTCCATGGCAGAGGCTCCGTCGAACCCCTGAGACCGATTCACCAAACCCCTAGTGTTCGATCGAACTTGGTCTAGATGTAATGTAAATACTGCACCATGAAATAAAAGCTGGGATCTTGAACATTTGTCTCATTTTCATCTTTTGATCTGAAACCCAAATGTCTTCCGTATACAACAAAACCAAATGAATTGCCCATGCCGTTCCTATACCATTTTTGGAGGGGACTGTAAAAGTATACAGAGAGAAATCCTCAATATCCAATATGGTCCTGTTAAAAAAAACGGCCATTATCTTTTGGAATTTTCTGTGGGTGCTTACTTTTTTTGTCGGCTTGAGGATTGCAGAGATCTTGATTTAATGCAGACAAAGCGGCAGTCAGAGCTTGTTCGTAAGACCTCCTGGCCTTCAGGATGGCAACCGGGGAGACGGGCTGTGATAACGAAGAAGGCGACAAGGCGTGCCCCTCTGTCAGTGTGGTGAGCACACAAACGGCGGTAGATGCACCTCTGTCGGTGGGAACCCCTCCTGGCCCACTTTCTCCATCCTCCACCTCGAGTTGAGCCCACAGCAGACAAAGCTCACAAAGGGAGGGGTGACACAGCCCCTTGGCCCCACCCAATGCCGTGGCTGCAGAAAACACTTTCCGAGCCTCTTCGACGTTACCGAGCATCCACTCTAATTGGGCGAATTCTCGCCACATTGCCAAGGATGAGCGGTTTTCGGCTTCTTTGAGCAGTGATTTGGCAATCCGCTTGCTGATTTTGCTCTGAGAGCGTAAACGTTTTTTGTTGCCGTGCAGGCAACGAAACACCTGGAACAAATATAGAGCGATGAAATGATTATTTAATTGAATTCTCGAAAGGTTCACCAAGTAAAAGTCCCCACCTTGAGTTTCTCATACTGCATCCGGCTGAGCGACAGGACAGCTCGTTGTTCAGATGGAAGAACAGGTTGGAGCATATTGAACATCGCGTTGACAAACTTCTCGCCCTGCTTTCCAAGTCCTACCCATTTCCTGGTTCCTTGGAGTGTGGTCATGTGACCCACAGAGTTCATCCCGGGGCGTGGCAGGTTGTGGGAAGTCAGAGCTCGTCGGGAGTCGCTACCTAAAATGAATTAGTGGCACAGGGTTGAATTCATTTGTCCTTCATCCTCTTATGTTGGAACACACGTTCAAAACAATTGAATTAAACTTCCTTTGTGATGCAGTGTCTCTGCAAAGTGTTCACAGCGCTTCACTTTTCTCATGTTTTATGTTCAAGCCTTATTCCAAAGCGGAAAAAAAAGATGTTCCTCAAAATTCTACACACAATAATCCATAATGACAATAGATTTTTTTTAATGTTTGCAAATGTATTAAAAATAAAAAAAAAAGAAATAAATCACATGCACATTCAGTATTCACAGTCTTTGCCACAAAGCTCAAAATTGAGCTGAGGTGTATCGCGTTTCCACTGATCATCCTTGAGCGGTTCTGACAGCGTAACTGAAATCAACCTTTGCTAAATCCATTTCATCGGACACTATTTGGGGCAGGTCAAAGGAGTGGCATCTTTTCCCCAAAAATTTGAGGCTGTAATTACTGCCAAAGGTGCATCAACAAAGGATGGCTCAAAGGATGTGAAAACATTGCTTTTTGTTTTCAATAAATAAGCAACCCCCCTCCGCCCCCCAAACTAATTTAATTTTGGGATGAGGCTGTAACATAAAATGTTGAAAACGTGCAATCCTGTGAATACTAAATGGCCAATGATATAAAGTATTTCAATTTATGAAACCTTTTGAATAAAAGTAAAAACACTGAACACTTTTTTTTCTTCTAATTTATAGTTGTAGTACTTGTTACCTCGGGACCTAAGGCGAATTCTCGCCACATTGCCAAGGATGAGCGGTTTTCGGCTTCTTTGAGCAGTGATTTGGCAATCCGCTTGCTGATTTTGCTCTGAGAGCGTAAACGTTTTTTGTTGCCGTGCAGGCAACGAAACACCTGGAACAAATATAGAGCGATGAAATGATTATTTAATTGAATTCTCGAAAGGTTCACCAAGTAAAAGTCCCCACCTTGAGTTTCTCATACTGCATCCGGCTGAGCGACAGGACAGCTCGTTGTTCAGACGGAAGAACAGGCTGGAGCATATTGAACATCGCGTTGACAAACTTCTCGCCCTGCTTTCCAAGTCCTACCCATTTCCTGGTTCCTTGGAGTGTGGTCATGTGACCCACAGAGTTCATCCCGGGGCGTGGCAGGTTGTGGGAAGTCAGAGCTCGTCGGGAGTCGCTACCTAAAATGAATTAGTGGCACAGGGTTGAATTCATTTGTCCTTCATCCTCTTATGTTGGAACACACGTTCAAAACAATTGAATTAAACTTCCTTTGTGATGCAGTGTCTCCGCAAAGTGTTCACAGCGCTTCACTTTTCTCATGTTTTATGTTCAAGCCTTATTCCAAAGCGGAAAAAAAAAGATTTATGTTCCTCAAAATTCTACACACAATAATCCATAATGACAATAGATTTTTTTTTAATGTTTGCAAATGTATTAAAAATAAAAAAAACTAATAAATCACATGCACATTAAGTATTCACAGTCTTTGCCACATAGCTCAAAATTGAGCTGAGGTGTATCGCGTTTCCACTGATCATCCTTGAGCGGTTCTGACAGCGTAACTGAAATCAACCTTTGCTAAATCCATTTCATCGGACACTATTTGGGGCAGGTCAAAGGAGTGGCATCTTTTCCCCAAAAATTTGAGGCTGTAATTACTGCCAAAGGTGCATCAACAAAGGATTGCTCAAAGGATGTGAAAAGATTGTTTTTTGTTTTCAATAAATAAGCAACTCCTCTCCGCCCCCAAACTAATTCAATTTTGGGATGAGGTTGCAACATAAAATGTGGAAAACGTGCAATTCTGTGAATACTAAATGGGCAATGATACACAGTATTTCAATTTGTGAAACCTATTGAATAAAAGCTAAAACACTGAACACTTCTTATTTTCAAATTTATTGTTGTAGTACTTGTTACTTCGGGACCTAACTATATATTCACCCTGAGTGAGCAGAGAAAGGTCCTCCAAGAGCAGTCCAGGATGACACAAGCCAGCAGATAGCACAGTGTCCACTGGAAGCCCGAGAAATGACAGGAAATGGAGGAGGAAGCGGAGCTGAAGCTCTGGCGAGGACAGGCAAATGAGAGAAGGGCCGATGTCATCGAACAGCACCTTCAGATTGAGAGACAGACCAGGAGTTAAAAATTGTCACGGTTGTAATTTCAGTGGTGCATATTATAATATGTTAGCGACAGACTGAATACAGTAATTCAGCTTACCTGTCTCTCTGGGTCCTCACAGTCATCTTCTGATTGGCCCTTGGCTTTTTCAGGTCTCCAAGGCAACCAATGCGCAGCTTCGCGAGATGACTCTACATCCAGCCACACGGTCCACCGTGGCTGGCTGCGGTCCTTCACCTCCTCCTCTTCCTCCTCCTCCTCCTCGTCTTCCACTGTGATGTGAAATTTGTAGCCAGTGGGAAAGGGGGGGGGGGGGGGGGGGTTTCAAATTCCACCAAAATAGAAAAAGAAAAGTCCTGAGTAAAATGGGTGTATTTTGTGGAATGGCATATGTCTGAAGTATTTATTTGGAAAAGCAAACAACAAGAGCACTGCAAAAGACCAGTAGTGTTGTGTATTATGCCGCCAGTGCGCCAATTCTTAACCAGTGAGATCGGACTCACTCTTGGCTGGTACGAGTGACACCACCGTTACACACAGATTGTTTGTATTATTAATTCCAGCATGCTAAACTGCGCTATATTTATCTCAAGACGCTTGTCCATTCCATGGGCTGTTCTGCTTTGGCTCCAGACCAGAGTTGTCAAGTTGCAGTTCCATTTCCAGGGAAGGTGCTTATTCAACATACCATCCACCCATCCATCCATTTTCTGATCCACGTTATCCTCACAAGCGTCGCAGGGGTGCTGGAGCCTATCACAGCTTTCTTCGGGCAGTAGACGAGGGACACCCTGAACTGGTTGCCCGTCAATTGCAGGGCACACGTAGACGAACAACCATTCACGCTCACAATGACACTTAGGGACAATTTAGAATGTTCCATGAACCTGCCATGTGTGTTTTGGAATCTGGGAGGAAACCAGAGTACCCGGAGAAAACCCACGCAGGGCAGGCACAGAGAGAATATGTAAACTCCACACAGGACGGCCGGAGCCGGAATCGAACCCTGCACCTCTGCAATTCGCTCACCATGCCGCCGCCGTCAAATATCCAGTACCTAAGTCGGCTTGCCATTAAATGCATGTATACTGTTGCCAACTTGTTGCACTCGCTCTAAAGTAAATGGCACCTCAAAATAGCATGGAAACCTAAAAATGTATATAATTCCTCATAGGTTGATGTACAATGTGCTTTATTTGTGCGTTTACCTGTTGTTTGGTGGAAAGTTGTCGTACACTGTCAGGCTTGAAGAACGTAAAGTCAATCATCGCTTGAAAGAGAGAGAGTGCCTTCTCTGAGTGTCCGGACTGACGGAGGAAATGACACTGCTTGGTGAAGATATCTGAAGGATGACAAAGGATCATACATCAATTACTTCCAATGAACAGAGAAGCACTCATGATTGCATCACCAGCAAATCTCATGCTGGCCGGCCATTTACTAGGTGAGCCTGTTTAAGACGCCGGGCCTCATTCACAAACTGTGCCTATGCAGAAATCTGTGATTCATCAATCTCTTTGTACTTGAATTTGTGTATGTTCTGCAAAAAAACATTTAAAAATAAAAATTAGAACCATCTCAGACCATGTGTACGCACAAATAATGATGCCTCAGCCTTAAAAAAAAAAAAGGCAAGCACACAGCTTTTTACACAAGATGCACAAGTATTGAAACTGCAATCATTTATGAAATCAATAATCACAATTTTAACAATAATACCTTAAAACTGCCCTTTACAAATGACTTGATTAATGTTCTATATTATCGTGAAGGACACTTCTGATTACCTTCACCTCACCCCCATGCTGTTCAAGCGCATTTATGTGCCAATGTATTGTATGCACCGTTTTTCCGCTACGAGCAGATTGTGCGTGTTTGCCTTGATCTCACACTTGGAAATGCATTTATTAGCAAATGAGGCCCAATGAGAGCCTTGTAAATCGTGCAACCAGGAGTTCATACGCCATAGTATACTGCATGTATGTGACATATGGACACACCAACTGATACCACCAGGCTCCATGTCAACAACTTGATCGAGCAATCACATACTGTAACTTTCGCTTATGAAAAGATAACACCGTTACTCTAATCTGCTCATCCCCCCTCAAAAAAAAAAATAAAAAAACACTGCCTGCTTACATTGCGCAAAGTCACCACTGGCTATTGTAACCATGAGGCTATTGTTTAATTTCACACTTGATGGAAGGCAAAGCATTCCAGAGGCCCAACTATTTTTTTTTAAATTTTTATTTAGGAAGCCATGTAGTAATCCTCTACCAGAGGGTCGTGAGTAGCGCTCCAAGCATGTTACCTAGCATATCCTCTTCAATCCCTGGCAGGGCTGGGTGGGACACCATGCTGCCATCCCGGACAGCACTAAGCATGCTGAGACACTTCCCATAAGCAGAGTTCACTTTTGACACACTGAAGTTGCTGAAGTAGCTCTGGGTGAAAAGAAGATACTCCCTCCACAGAGGGCCACTATTTGGGTGGAGAAAGACCTAAAACAAAACATTAAAAAAAAGGAGTTTGCCTCATTTATTAATACTGTATGTTCTCAGGTGAAAAACACTGAATAATATTGCAAGGCAAGGACAATCAACGAACCAGTTTCTTCCACTCTTTAGCCAGAGCTGATGGTTCCCAAAGCTCTTGGCAGATCCTGAGCCTCTCCCGCTGCAGAGCCACACAGCCGGGGTTAGTTGCCACGGCACGCTCGGCAATGCTGAGCTTTTTCTCCAGCACGGCTTTATAAGAAGACTTGCGACGCTCCAATAACTCTTTGCCCTGTTGCTCTTCCTCACCTCCGAATACTGCGGCACTCAACTCATCCTACAACATAACAGACAAGATATGGTTTGTAATTTAATGTTTCATGGCTGTGATCTGATCAAAGGTTTAATTAGTTAGGAGATCAAACATATCAATACGGGAGTTGTCAGAACTCGGGGCTTAAATCAGGGATGTCAAACTCGTTTTTGTCAACGGCCACTTTGTTGTTCAGGCTTCCCTCAGAGGACTGTTATGACGGTGAAACCAAATAAATGTCTAATTAATTATTACATTTACCAAAAAAAAAAAAAACGATTACTAATTTTAAAATTAGAAGTCAAGGATTGCTTGTTCAATTATTGTTCAGGTGACTGTAAAGAGGGAGTAACCAAAAAATTTTGGATGTCACATTTTTTTTTGTACCAGAGTCCAAGTCATTTGAGTATTTTCCGATATTAATTCCTGATCAGTACCTCTCCAATTCAATGCAATGCAATGCAGATCATATCCAAATTTTCTCAATTATCTTCCCTTCTTATTTTATTTTGAATAAAGGTATCCCAAGATGATACCTTTGTATATGACTGCGAATCAGCAGCGGTTCAAATCAAATAAAGAACTGAAATATTTTATTCTTGATTTAAGAAATTCAGAAAATTTTAAAAAATCGAACCTTTTTTCGCCAATGCCAAGTAGCTGGAAATAACATGCTCGGCCCAGATTTCCAATCACATCGATTGGCTCGGGACAACCCTAAAAATGTATTATTGTGAAATTTCAACTTTATTTATGATACAATACAATTTGAAATTTTGGCACAGAATTTTAGAGGGAATCATAAAATTTGACACGCATGATTTGCTTTTGCAGGCCACATAAAATGATGTGGCGGGCCAGATCTTAACTCCGAGCCTTGAGTTTGACCCCTGTGACTCAAATGCTGTGTTGTTGTATGTTTGTGCTTACAAACAGTAGTGAAAGAAGTATAAAGAGGTCAATAAGAGTCTAAATGTTCTTCAAGTGCATAAACGTAGGAGGCCAAACAACGAAAGGGGATCGATGCAAAATAGTAATTTGAAAGATGTCTGGTTGAAATGAAACTTGACAAAAATGCTCACACGACATGTCATTCCACCCTGGATGAAGAACAGTGTCAAAGAATCATTATAAATTTTAGATATTATCAAAGATGAGATTCATGCTCATCATCAGAACATGCGAACCTCTGACCCCAACGGCAGCATCAGACCAGACAAAAACAATCTGTTTGTTCAAAAGGTGAGTCTTCCTACTTGATATCTAATGAATTTCAGCCAGAGCTGGGTGTCCTCGGGTTGCTCTCTCAATTTCCTGTTGAACTCTTCAGTCTGACCGGTCAAAAGTTGAGCTTCTTGTCCTGTCTCCGAGTTGTGATTGTCGTGATGATCTGTCGGGTCCTGCTTTCCCTTCCCCTGCAGCCAGAGGGCAGTGGTGGAGTCGTACACGCCAAGCGGATTCACTGATGAGATCTGCGCTCTGCCACCTGTTGCAGTACGTTGAAACCCATCATAGGAGAGATGATGAGAATGTAGTCAGAATGGTCCAGGTAGACTCAAAACAAAAAACCCAAACAAAACAACCAATGCAGTAGGTTTACCCAGTCTTGGAAAACATGTTGCGGGACTGTCCTAGCCTTGTTGAGAAACTGATCTCGCGATGGGTTTATTCGCTGTTCTAAGACATTTGTGATCTTCCACAATGAGATTATTTGACACTAATAGAACAGGTTTTTTCCCATTAATTGTTGCCTATAATCTGCTAAATATTGCCTTTAGTGAGATTAGGCAATTCGTGTCGGGGAATAGTTGAGGGCACCTTTCTAACATGTTACTGGGAAGCCACATGAAATCACGCACAATAACAGGAACGCAATGGCCATTTTAAAGGTTTGACCGTAAAGTGGAACCTTGAAGGTTGACCATAATCCAACTATCGTTTTTTTTTTTATAATGCATTTTCACCATCACATGATAGAACGAAGTGGTTCCACGGTCCAACAGTCACCACCATAAAATCTATATTAACTGTACAGGATATGTGTAGAAATTGCACAATATAAGATCAAATGTTCTTATTCTTACTGTCCAACAACTGAATATCAGTGACAGACCGCTGTTAAAATGTAATATAAAAACAATAAAAGTTCACAATCCCAACTTTGATAATGACCAGGGATTGATATTAACAGTGGCCACTATGTGACTATGTGTTGAGTCACTCAATGATCTCTGACGATGGCCCAAACGGGCCATAACAAATTCTATGAATGAATACGATGAAATCAACACATTATTGTAAGACAGAACAGAATTTCATGTCATCATTAGAAGTTATTTATTTATATTTATATATATATATA